GAGATATTTAGAGTATCAGAGCATACCTTGAAGGTCTTTGCAACTCGTTGTTATTGTAAGACGCGTCTAGACCATGTATATAGGTAGTGTCTTGTTTAAACAAGAAAAATACCGACATTTGTTTACCTTTTCTTCATCAAGGGACAATTATGTGAAATAAAATATGACTTAAAACAGAATAAATTCGATAACCTTTCGTGGTTTAATCAAAGCTATATTAACTAGCCCGGTATATGGCAATAGACCCCCTATTAAATGGGACTCATGACATAAATAGTGAATAATGGGTGTTACATTGCACAGTAGCATTAAGAGCCGTAATATTTACCTCTGCCTATCCCATCGGGGACAAAAAGGCGTGATGTTATGTTATTAACTAGACAAGAGTTATATATACACCAAAATTCAATCTTTGTACTGAATTTAGCTTCTACCCCTCAAAATGGCAACTACTGCATTCGGCAATATTCCCAGAACGTGCAATCTAAATGCAAATTACGTGGTAAGCGAACGACTTAGCTTTCACTAAACTTAACGATACGTTTTACGATAGTCCTTCCGAGTTTTCCGACTGTTCCGACTATTTCCGTATTGCAGTCGAATTGAGAACGGTCGGCCTTAATTCCGAGCCCTTAGTTACTTATTTATGTTCCTACACCACCGTCAGTATTTTTGCGGTTTTATTATTTACATAAACATCATACTTTGAATTCTCTGAAGGGGTTTGCAGTGGTATGTTTATATGTAGTTAACCTATTTTCCACTAGTTATGTTAATAGACCCATGTGACTTGCGTGAGTGTTGATCCTATTCGTTAGAATTCAAAGTCAAAGCGTTTATTTCTATTATTCCTTAATTAGACAATTTTGAAACGCCAAAAGTTGAATTCTCTGTCTATCTGTTCGTCGGTGTAGCTAGGTATTCGTTCCAAAGTGTAGTTTCGAATGAAGAAGAACGAGTAAAAAAAAGGAGATAGGAGTAACGATGGAGAAAATTTATTTTTTTCTTCTTTGACAACCGAGTCTCCAATACGATGTTGTGGACTATACTGCCAGTGTCGGGAGGGAGGAAATTTTGTTATTTCGCACATTCAAACCATCAATTAAAAACCTTTTCTCTATTTCCCGAACCTGCAAAAACAAATATCGATTTCAGTCTGTGATACTAGCCTTTTCTAGCTAACAACATTTTGTCTACATAGTTTTTACAGCAATATCCAAAATATAACACTTAACTTAATTTTGGACTTCCAAAAGAGGACATTATTCAATGAAGAAAGTAAATCTCCTGTTTTGGAAGCATTGCGTGAGGGACTCAAGTATCTGGGACACGGATTTACCGGAGTCCTATTGTAACACGACACTCATTGACGAAATCCCTTTATAATCGTATTTTGATAATCCACAGGATCCGGCCCTGGTTTGTCTTCACGTTTTATTATAGAAACATTAATTGATGTAGACAAAATCGTTTATTTTTAAAAGTGAAATGAGAGACATAGTACCTTTAAAAATACTCTCAGTTTAAGTAGGCTATTGGGTGCCCAGGATAATTTAATTTTATCTCATTTAAATACATCGTGTGCTAAAGTCTAATAAGTAGAACATAAGTAAACTCACTCACGAGAGAAAAAATTTAGATGTTAAAAGCTATTCAAATAACAATTTTAGTGAGTTGTCCGATGTTTTGCTGTAAATAGTAAAAATCTGTCCGATCGTTTTCTCTACTTAGTTTTCTCTAACAAACGTACAAGCAGAAACATTAACATTTACGAAAATAAAACATTAAACAGTCAGATCGGTCGATAGCCAAGCGTCTAGCTTTTTACTTTTTCACATTCATAAATATTCATAGTGCAGAAAGAGTAAAGAGGGTTTGCGGTGGGAATGTATGTATGTGTGTTCTTTTGCGAGAGAGCGCAATATGCTGAGTGGTACAGTGGCGTGGGGTATTGTACGGCGGGCGTCGGGACGGCATTGTCACCGGCCTGCGTTCCCACTTTGTTCCCCGACAGTACCAACGTTATTAGGTCACAATGTGAACGTACTTGATCCTTCCATGCCATTTTTATTTCGATTGCAAGATTATTATTTCCGTTTCGATTCAGTTCAGTTCTTACTGGAATTATAGGAGTTCCTTACGACGACCTTTAATCTCTATATATAAAAAATCAATTGCTGTTCGTTAGTCTCGCTAAAACTCGGGAATGGCTTAAGCGATTTGGATAATTTTGATCTTGAATTATTTGTGGGGAAGGTTCAAAAAGTGGGAAAATATTTATTGAGGCGATACGAAGTTTGCTGGGTCAGCTAGTTAACAGATATATTGAGTATGAAATCACGTTAAAGAACAATGCAAATACATAATACGTATTCTATTTTTTGATACAATCTATGTTAAATAAAAATCGCGAGTTACTCACGTGAATATACTAAGAAAAGCCTACTCAGTAGGTTGCGCGACATCGCCGCGACCGCGCACTCTGCTCATGAGGAAGAACACCTTTGTGGTTCGAAACTAGTGGAGCTACTCAGTATATTCACGTGAATAACCCGCGATTTTTAGTTAATTCAGTATGTCCCACGATAGTTATTATAAAAACACAATCGATGTTGCTTCTAGATAATATCGTCGTCCGCAAATTTTGTTAAAGTCACTCCTAAAGAAAGTAAAGCTATTTAATAAATAAATAATTATCAAAGATTTTAAGTCTTCTTTCTTGAATAAAATACTTAGTACCTCAGCACAGATACGTGTCTCTCAGCTTTCCCTAATTTAGAAGGGTTTCGATCGAAAATAGAAATATCAACGAAATTGTGTAGAACAGACGTCAGGAGTAGTTTTCTAGGAACTCGTAGGTGCTTCCACCCACCTCTTCAGGTAGTTACTTTCTAAATTCAGATTTTATTTTAGTACCTTAGTGCCTTTTTTCTAGTTTTACCTAATAAATAAAATAATTGTGTTAATTTTTACCAAATATTTTTGGTAGGTACATATTTTTCGACTTGAAATTTTTTTATGGAATAGCCGTTTCATTTTATTTATATTTTGTATTTAATTCAATAACTTAGAGGTCTTATCACAAAAAACCGCGTTCATACTAATATTCTTTGTTACACACACAAAATAGAGACAATCTCTCGTTGGAGTTATTTTAACCCCACGTTGTATGTATGAGGATTTTTTTTCACGTTATATGCCGAAGGGACCTACCCTTACCTACTGGAATAGCTAACAATTACTTGATTGTACACAATTCGTAGATCTTTCCTAAAATGATTCCGATATTCGTAGTACAAGTAAAATCCCACATTGTTTTATCTACAATAAGAATTTATAGATTCCTATAATCTTATTGACATTCAAACATGGCCGGGCCTCGTAATCTCATTGACATTTAATACGTTGTGGCCACCTGGCGGACGGTTCAGATATCCAAGTGATGTGAATACATAGCTTACATATAAGTAACATGTACTTCATAAACGGGGAACAGAGGTACGCGCAATAATAAAGTAAGCAATTCCTCAATTCAATATCACTTCACGGGAATCCTGAAAAAGGTCCCGCTTTCCCGAATAAAGATACGCAATCAAAGTTATTGAAAGAACCCTCGCCAGCCTGATCCGGCTGGAGGCGGCACTATTCTGCAATCCTTTCGCGTATCCCGCCAACCAATCATTATCGACCACCCCAAACTTGAACTGTGACCTTTTGCAACAAACCTCCAATTAAATTTCCATTTCTTCGCCCAGTGTTATTTACTGCTACTTTGGCATTTCAAATACCCTGGAAACTCATGTTAGCATTCATTGATCTGTCGCACAATTATTTTTAGACATTTGTTTACGCTAATTATTATACTGGACGTGTGAGTAATATTTATGTACGCAGCACGCAATGAATGTCAACGTGACTCATATCAAGATCAATAGTCTAGGAGTGTTAAATAAAATACGTTTCATTTTGAAAACATATTTTTATTTTCCTGTAAGTTACCCAACACTTTCTAAATAAGAGTTGGGTTAATAATAAACTTGTCCAATGTTCGACAAAAATACAACGACACGTGGAGCAAAGCTTAAAATAATTGTGACCCGTCGGCGTCGGAGACTCGCAGCGATACCCTGCTATCACAACTGTCTATAACATAGACTTAGCCGAGATCGTAAAATTCCAAATCTCACTCAAATAAAGGTCGCCCCAAATCGCACCCCTGCAGGTATTATAAAATGGCGTCATCGGTATAGAATTATAGTCTTGTGATCGGCAGGTACAAGAAAGGTTAGGTCGGCGACGGCGCGGGGGTCGCTATACGGCCTCCCCCTGACCTTTAAAGAGTCGCCTTGTCCCGCGGGAGCATGCTCGCGCCGCATTACCACGCGGCGACACATCTGAAACAGCTCATAGCATGGACGGGCTGGGAGTGCGGCTGAGCGGCTGAGCGGCTGAGAGCCGGGCGCACCTGTGTAGGTGGGCGCCGGCCGCGGCCGCCACTGCAGGCCGGGAGCCGACGCGGCGCGGCGCGACGGCGCGTCTCGCGCTCAACATGGCAGACACGCACCGCTAGGCATGTGCCCCTCACACATCTCTAAATATCCCAACTGTATCACTTCACACTCGCAGTATCTTATTCAGTTTAAGACTCTAATCTATCCCCAATTCAGCTGAAAAACAAGTAATAATGTAATTTCATTTAATTAATTACAATTTAGATAAGAAATATAAATAAATCACCTCTGAAATTATAGAAATCAGGCATAAAATAATTTCTTTTTCCCCAAAAAATAAAATCTTAATAAAAATATCAGCATAAAGTATTTTTTCAGCGTTATAAAAGAAAACTCGACTGCAGATAAATATCCCAACGTCGCCTCGTAACCGCAGCGGCGCCATCGTCCCGGCCCTAGTCGTTACGTTCAGAACGGGCGCCGCGCATGCGCGCTGGCCGCTATTAAAAAATGAATTCCTGGTTCCCGCACTGTGAGCCGTACGTCGGTGTCAGCGGCTGCGTTAGGTCGGCGGCGCGCGCCAGACGGACCCGCCCGACAGAGCGCCAGCGCCAGGCCGCAGCGCGCAGTGCCGGTGCCGGGGCCGGAGCCGGGGTGTGGTCGTGCAGTGCAGTGCAGTGCGTGCAGTGAGCTGCCGATGCGGTGAGCCGCACCATGCGTCGCGCGGGCTGGTAGCGGCCGCGGCATGGCGCGCCGCGCCGCACGCGCCCGCGCCTGCTCCTCACACACACCATGAGCGACCTGCAGGCCACCTTCGAGTTCTCCGTCGAACTCTACAAGTTCTACAATGTCGACCTCTTTCAGAGAGGGTGAGTCCACTCGATATTTATTACCTGGCCGTAAGTACTAGAACCTTCATGATAACATTGATAACAACTGATAACATGTGAATTGTCCGTAAAAAGAGAACGGAAAAGGATCACAGAATTAATAACAGCACCTAGAAACAGCCTAGGATTAATGAAAGGACTCAACAATGATAACGCATTCCTGATATTCATGGTTACATACATTCGGGGCTTGATCAATCATCGTGTTCAGCTGATATTTGCTTCGGAACATCAATCGGATGAGCGATCACTTTCTCCTTGACATTCGTAAGGGAGAGATGCCCTCTGATTGAGACGTACGCAGACAGAGATTATTGGTACATTTTCTTTCACCGCATTACCCCAACTTTAGAGCGGGATAGTGCTATATAGATATATCGACGAAACTCTGAGTTATGAAAACCTTCTACGGCGTAGAGTCTGTTAATCTGGGCATTTTGATAATTGTACTACTTATTCAAGAAAACGATAAATCAAATGAAACATTCATCCTAAACTGTCAAGACTATTAAATCATAATACTGCGTCCTACTTGAAACTAATCAAAAACAAGAAACTGTGTTAAAATAACGATACAAACGTATGCGAATTGCGAACTCCGTTCTCTCGTAAGCAGAAATGCTATTAACAAGTAACAATAGAAGTGCTCTCTGGTGTCAGATCTCGTTATGTTCCGACACGTTACGTTATTATAACATCAAACTGTCACTACTTGTTACTGAACCCTTTGGACCATATGGGAATGTAATGAAACTATACGATCGTGGTCTCATTTTGGAGTATTCTTCAGGCTTAGATAACAAGACATGCTCAAAAACGTACTAAAGAACTCGCTTTAATATTTAAGTCTATACCTACATAGGCAACTTTATCTAATTGATTTAAAAAATAGGACTTATTGAGTCATCACTCAGTAACTCATAAAATTGAATTCTTCTTTATATAAATATCAACGATTTTCATTTAAATAATTCACATTATAAAAAGTGTATAGATCTAACGCTGAAGAAATGTAACGTTATTTATCTTCTATTTAGATATTATGTACCGATTATTGTAAATTAAACAAATCATACGAACATTTACATTGACTGGATAGCTGAAATATGAAGTAGATTTATCATGGAGGCATTAAATTAAAATTAAACGTATGCCATAACGTCTGTACCTATGCGAATATTAATCTTATTTTTATTAACGCCATTGACGGTCGCGATCAATCTGAAATATTAAACTGTCAAACACCAAGCGGTCACCGGTGACCGCAACCTATTGTTCTATAATTGTGTCTACAAAACCGGTACTCGACGAGTTAAAGGGGTTTTTAAAAATACGGTCCCCATCGTGACTCAGGGTTGTCGCGTATAATTATTATGATTGAATGCAAAATGCACGGCTGTGGCTGAAAACCCTTCAATTAATTCCACCAGATTGAAGGGGGGAACAAACCAGTCTGCTAATTGGTAATCACTGCTTTTAGTGTACTTTGTTTAATTAATAGATTCGTGTTGGTTGACATCATGGTATAAGTACGAAAGGTTTCGAGTCATGTTTTGGTTTCTGCTTTAGGACCTAAATCATAACTTATTTTATTACTAACCTCTGCCCGCGACTTCGTACGCTGAATCCCGTATTCCGTTCCCGTTTAAGTGATTTTCGGTAAAAAGTATTGGATAAAAAGTATCTTATGTCTGTGTATCTTCATCCAAATCGATTTAGCCGTTCTTGAGATATAATTAACACGACTTTCTTTAATATATATAGATTTTTCGTGCTTGATGTTTGTAGTGTTGTCTTTATACGTTATCCTTAGTTGGGACCCTTTGACAATTTTTATATAGGACTCGCTACCTAACTGGCAAAGTGTCTATTGCCTAACTATCCTTACTAATATTATAAATCGGAAAGTGAGTTTGTTTGTTTGTTTTTTTGTTCCGCTTTCACGCCGTAACTACTAAACCGATTGCTTTGAATTTTGTATGAAATGCAGACGTTAAATTAGAAGTCCGGATTAAATAATAGGATACTTTTATCCCGGAAAAATTTTATATTCCCGAGGGAAAACAAAAGTATTGGTATAGATGGCGCTGTTTGTATTGATATATGTCACATAGGTTACATTTATCCATTTGTGACGCGAGCGAAGCCGCGGATAAAAGCTAGTGGAAGAATAAAAGACCCAATATCTTGTACTACGTAAAACAGTTAGATAAAATAGAATGATATTGTAGGTAAATAATGTATTGTGTTTAACTTTTGAATTTAGATTGTGAACAATTTGTCCACGACCTTAGCTTTTAAAATACGACATCGCTTCACGAAGCTCGCGTGTTTGCAGGCGCAGTTTGAAAATTGTGGCGTTGCGTGTCCATGTTGCAATGTTCGGAATACTTTGGAAGTTTATCAACGTTATAGACAATTATCAAATATCTATTTAGTTATTAATTTTCATTTTATTCTTCAGTGACTCATTCAAGTTTTAAAAGTCTCTTTGTGAACTCGAACTGCTAAGTAACTGGTAGTTAATTTATTAATGTCCAAATACTCAATCGTCACTCAATTTAAGACACACGTAACTATAGTTCTGTCACCACAAATTCTTTGTAAAATGACAGAGATGGCACATGGATACTTAAGTGCAACATAAAATAGGGATGATGACGGGGTATGAAAATTAAAAATCTATTTTATATCCGTAAGTTAAGTAGGTAATGAAAAATATTAGGCATGTATTTTATTTTATTTTGTCGTATAATAAAATAATACTTAGATATAACGAATGAAAGTTTTGGAGTGGGGGCTAAAACGTCATTTCTACGTATAAAATGTACATAGAAGTGACGTCACGCGACATTTCAAATCAATATATCGTCGAAAGTATTCATTTCTGTAAGAAAATAAAAAATACGTGACTTAAATTTTAAAATTATGTACCAGACGGACATTAAAACCTACCCTATTGAGTACTTTCAGTATTCGGGCATAACAGAAGGATTATTTAGTACGGTAGACGGGTCCTGATGTTTGCGTTTTCATTTCACACACCTTTTTTTAAATAATGTATGAATAGTGATAGGTAATTATTTTTTCAAAATGGACGACAATAAGGTCATAATATCATAATCAATAAATACTATATATCATTTTTTCAAACAAGTTGTGAAAAACATTAAGAAAGTATTCAGTGAAGTAAAAAGTTTGTTAAATCAGAGCCAGTTAGAATGCTTTTGGCAACGAGTGCCTATCAAATAAAAATGTTATTTACAACCTAAATGAATTTTAAAGCAAAACAAATGGTGTTAGAAAAATCAACGCCTCTAACTATAAAAAGTGAATGCATTTTATTGATTCAAGCCATTCATTGTTGATTGAAACTAAGGATTTTATTTCAGTATAAAACGATCGCCAGTTACATAAACGGATTAGATAGGCAACATATAAACGAAGCGATGGACAGGTATACAACCTGCGTGTGTATAAACATGGCTCCTATTGTATTGAATAACATTGTACAGGAATAAAATCTCTATTTTATTTAACTTTAATAGCAATTTAAACCTTATTCTGGCCGTCAATAAAAGCTTTACTTGACTTTATTTTAAAGACAATCATTTTGCCTGATGGAGGATTTCAAATAATAAGTATCCTGGTTCATATAAAAACACATTTAAGTATAGAAACCATATAAAATCTAATAAAAAGAAAACAATGATGGTTCTTACAAGATATTTCAAGTCACACGTCACTAGTATCCGGCAAGGTCATTGGCTAAAATTAAATGTTTTTAACCAGCTTTTACCGTGCCATGTTTACTCACGTTCGAATGTTTTACTATACAACACGTTGCACACAATGTACATAAACAGTTGTAAAACAAAGTCCGATAAACTTTGTAAATAAACATAGAAAATATACCAAAACACTCGCTAATCTTAAAAAGGCTACGTCTGTGTAATCCGATTAGAGAATGTTGAACTAATCAGCTGTTTTAAATCGATAATTATTTCCGTCTAATAGATATTTGAATAAAACGTTAACTGTTGTATAAAGAAAGCATTTATAACTGCTCAAATTGTGTCCGAACATTAAAGATTTCATCAAGTCTTTGATGATCTGGTATGATAAAGTTGTCATCAAAGATCAAATATTTATCACTTGTGCAACAGTTTATGATAGATCGATTGACTCTATTAGCTCTTTTCATTTAAAAGGTACAAGATGTATTAAGTCGTATTTGGTGAACCACAAACTGTCAATAGGACTGCCATGCTGATTATGGCTACACCAAAATAAACACGTTTTCTTAGTTAAGAAATATGAACTCGTTACGAACACAAGGTGCAAAACAACTTGCATTAAATAACAATGGATTATGTAGGTATTTAATAACACGCAAAACATTTTACGATGAACACATAAAACAACACTATTTTATCTTTTAAATTGCAAATGACAAGACTCCTACGCATCGCGAGCAGTTTGTGACCTAGTTCTATATTTGTGGCGCGTGTCATTCCAAGTATGTCTGCCACAGAATAAATAATATTATTCCGACTATTAGCAGGTTAACACATTTCTTAAGTATTTTGTTAGAACCGAGTTCCAATTTTAATATTTTTATCTTATACTTTTGCGACTTTTCAAAAAATTCACAGTAGTAGCACGGAGTCTGGATCTGTGCCCGGTATATGGCAATAGGCTGACCCCCTATTACATGGGACTCATAACATAAGTATTGAAAAGTGGCTGTTGCATTATACAGTGACATAATGTACACCCAGAGGGTAGGCAGACACTCCGGGGATAAAAGGCGTGATGTTATGTAATGTTATGTTATGTTACTTCTGCGACTCTTATATACTCTTTGCTAGCTCAGATTGACTCGCAGCATAGGCTTCTAGGCTTCTTCTATTTATTAAACCGATATTTTCAGTAGTAGGTAGCAATAGTTATTCCCTACAAAAAACTTTATTCTTTAG